AGGTTCCGGCATCCTTCTCCTTTGGCAGCTATGTGGCATCTCTCTGACTCCTTCTACTCTCTTCCTATATCTCTGTTAGGGTTTTCCTGCCTGACTTTACTCTGCTAAGCCATTGGCTCAAACAGCTTTATTCATTAACCAATAAAAGTAACACATGTACAGAAGGACTTTCTACATCAGTAAAGCCACCCATAGTGAAATGGTAGCTGGAAACAAGATGGTGTAGTTGTTCTGCTATTTAATAAAGTTAAACTTCAGACTAAAAGTTAGGAGGGTAACAGCATCCGCTACCTATTAATAAATGGAATAACTAATCAAAGAGAGGTTATATGATTATATGTAATTATAACAATTAAAATTTTATGTGTATATGAAGTTAATGAACTTAATTTCATAATAAAGCACTGATAAACATAAAAAGTCAAACAGTTTCTAAAATGATAGTGGTAGGTGATTCCTATACCACATTCTAATCTGTTGATAAGGATCCACCCTCAGAGTTAAAAGTTCCCCACAGATCAAATGGACTGAACATTTCAGTATATAAAATATTCGACCCAACAGATACTGAGACATGCAACTCTTCTAAAATAGATCACATTCTTATATGTCATCATATTCAGGTCTTCCCAGAAACAGAACGGTTGAGTAGTTTCTCATATCATAGATCATAGTGCAACCAAACTAGAAATCAATAGGGAAAGAAAATAATTCAACCCTTACCAAAAGCCATAAAACAATCCTCTATAGGAACTATGTAGATACAAGGACACGGAATAGTACAGTCTTGATTAGTAGTCATTGAAGAAATCATGGAGGAAATTAAAGTTTCTTCAATAAAAAAATGAAAGTGTAGCTTTCTAGAACCTTTAAAATGTATCAAAATCAGTTCTAAAATGAAAGTATATAGCTAGGCGTGTTCACATTAGCAAAAACCTCCAAAAGTTCTCATATACTAATATTAACCTTCAAGATCTTAGGAAAGCAAGAACAGTTCAAATCCAAAGCAGAAAATGCCAAGAAGTTAAAAAGACCAGAGCAGAAATTAATAAAATGGAGATGAAAAGAGTAATACTTAGAGTTAATGATAGAGAAAGCAAATCCAATAAACCCCTTTCAACACTAACCAGGGGATATGATGATCTAGCTCAGTGAAATCAAGAGTAGCCTTTGATTCCGTAAACTAGAAGTTACAGAAGAGATGGTTAAATATAAGTGAGGTTGTGGGGAAATATGTACCCTCAGATGGTATTGTTGAAAAGGTAAATTGATGCAGCCAAAAAAGCTAAAAATACAACTGCCATATAATCTAGCCACACCACATCTGGGTATGTAACTGAAATACTCTGACATTACCATGAATCTATGTGCACATAGAATCATAACTGCACATCCTTTTTATTACTGCATTTTTACAAAAGCTAGGAAATGGACCCAGCTTAGTTGTCTATTAGTAAATGAACAAATAAATAAAATTTGGTGCATATTTGCAATAGTATTTATTCAGTTGTAAAGAAAGATAAAATCATGACATTTGTAGAAAGTCAATAGAACTGGAAACCATTAAACTAAGCAAACTAAACCTGTCTTAGAAAAACTAAATTTTCATATATAGAACCTTGACTTAAAATTGTGTGTATGAATAATTTATGAAACTGTGAAGGGGATTATGAGAGAGGAAGATATTAAGGGAGGAAGATAGATGGGGAGACCATCTGTGAATGAAGGAGACAACCAGGCAGCAGGGAAGACTGGTTACCAGATCTGGGGGAGAGGACCAATGGAACAACATGTAATGATATATGAGTAGGAAATATCCATTACTAATGGATATGATTAAATATTTTTCTTTTTACACCTGATTTAAAAATAAAAGTATCAGAATAATATGACCAGACCTAATTTTATGTAGTCTGTTTTTTATATCAGTCCAAATTTATATTAAACAAAATTTTATAAAATAATCTCTAAAATACTACATTGTTTCCTGTTTTAAAAATATTTTTAATGACAGCTTCCTAAACTATCTTTTTTCATTATACATATCAATCCAAGCTCATACTCCTTCCCCTCCTTCCATTCCTTCCACATACCACCCTACCCCACATCCACTCCTCAGAAAGGGTAAGGCACATTGCTTTGGGGAAGGTCCAAGGCCCTTCCTACTATATCTAGGCTGAGCAAGATATCCATCCAAAGAGAATGGGTTCCCAACAAGACAGTACAAGCAGTAGAGATAAATCCCGGTGCCACTGCCAGTGGCCCCTCAGTCTGCCCCAGCCCTATAACTGCTACCCACATTCAAAGAGACTAGTTTGGTCCTGTGCTGGTTCTTTCCCTGTCTGCTGAAGTTGGTGAACTCCAATAAGCTCAGGTAAACTGTTTCAGTGGGTGTCCCCATCTTGGTCTTGACCCCTTTGCTCATATTCTCACTCCTCCCACTCTTCATCTGGACTTGGGGAGCTCAGTCCAGTGCTCCAGTGTGGGTCTCTGTCTCTGTTTCCATCAGTTGCTGGATGAAGGTTCTATAGTGACATTTAAGATATTCATCAATCTGACTACAAGGCAAGGCCAGTTCAGGTACCCTCTTCACTATTGTTTAGGGTCTTAGTTGGGGTCATCCATGTAGATTCCTGGGAATTTCTCTAGAACCAGGTTTCTTGCTAGCCCCATAATGATTCCCTCAATCAAAATATCTCTTTTCTTGCCCTCATCTCTGTCCCTCCATCTCTGCTACCCTGTTCCAAGTTATCCTCCCTCCTCCCCTACGCTCCCCTCTTCCTCTTCCATTATCCCCTCTTCTCTACTCCTATATTCCTGGTTTGTCAGGAGATCTTCTCTATTCGACTTTCTAGGTGGATCTATGTATGTTTTTCTTATGGTTCACCTTGTTACTCTGCTTCTCTAGGATCATGGACTATAGGCTCGTTACTCTTTGCTTTACACCTACTATTCACTTATACATACCATGTTCGTCTTTTTGGGTCTGGGTTACATCACTCAGGTTTGTGTTTTCTAGTTTCATCCATTTGCATGCAAATTTCAAGATGTCATTTTTTTTAAACCACTGAGTAGTACTCCATTGTATAAATGTACCACATTTCCTTTATTCATTCTTCGGTTCAGGGGCATCTAGGTTATTTCCAGGTTCTTGCTATTATAAATAATGCTGCTATGAACATAGTTGAACAAATGTCCTTGTAGTATGACTGAGTATCCTTTGGGTATATGCCCAAGAGTGGTATTGCTGGGTCCTGAGATAGGTTGATTTCCCAATTTTCTGAGAAACTGCCTTACTGATTTCCAGAGTAGTTGTACAAGTTTGTATTCCCACAGAAATTATTCCCACAGTAATGGATGAGTGTTCTCCTTACTCCACCACCTCTCCAGCATAAGCTATCATTGGTGTTTTTGATCTTAGCCATTCTAACTGGTGTAAGATGGTATCACAGAGCTGTTTTGATTTGCATTTCTCTGATGGCTAAGGATGTTGAGCAGTTCCTTAAGTGTCTTTTGGCCATTTGAGATTCTTCTGCTGAGAATTCTCTGTTTAGTTCTGTACCCCATTTTTAAATTGGGTTATTTGGAATTTTGATGTCTAGTTTCTTTAGTTCTTTATATATTTTGGAGATCAGTCCTCTGTCTCTTGTGGGATTGGTGAAGATCTTTTCCCATTCAGTAGGCTGCCTTTTTGTCTTATTGACTGTGTCCTTTGCTTTACAAAAGCTTCTCATTTTCAGGAGGTCCCATTTATTCATTGTTGCTCTCAGTGCCTATGTATTTTTTTTAAATTTATTCATTTATTATGCATACAATATCTGCCTACATGTGTGCCTGTAGGCCAGCAAGGGCACCAGATCTCATAACAGATGGTTGTGAGCCACCATATGGTTGCTAGGAGTTGAACTCAAGACCTTTGGAAGAGCAGGCAATGCTCTTAACCACTGAGCCATCTCTCCAGCCCCCTCAGTGCCTATGTATTGAAGACTGCTTCCCACTTTCTCTTCTGTCAGGTTCAGAGTGGTTGGATTTATATTGAGGTCTTTAATCCATTTGGATTTGAGTTTTGTGTATGTAGATAGATATGGTTCTATTTGCATTCTTCTACATGCTGACATTCAGTTATGTCCGCACCATTTGTTGAAGTTGTTTTCTTTTTCATTGTATATTTTTATCTTCTTTGTCAAAAATCAGGTGTTCATAGGTGTGTGGATTGATACCCAGGTCTTCGATTTGCCATATCCTGTAGTTTACTTCTTTCTGTCTATGGAAATGTTTCTTAATGTCATAGCCGCGCAGTCTATCTCTTTGCATAATGCCTAGAATCCTCCTGAGACATACCATCTCAAACACATTCAGCCACTGTTCTGAGGAGCATTTCAATGTCCAGGTTCCAGAGTTGTAAAGAAAGCAGTTCCAGACAAGTGTCTCATATACCTGTAATTTTGTGTTGTTATATCTCTTGCTGACCAAACCTTTCCTAGTACCTAGAGTGCAGCCCGCACTATCCCTATATGTCTCTTGAAGTCTGAAATAGTTCCTTTCTTTGAACTAAGGTTTCCTCCCAGATATACAGAGTTGTCTTTTTGCCTGAGGTTCTGATTCTTTATTACAATGTTAAAATCCTTGCATGCCTTTCCCATGTGTTGTGTCTCAGTCTTGATACATTGGTTTACTTTGAGGTAAATACTGGCAGGAAAAGCTTATCAGTTCCTTTTCCCATGCCTTACTGCTGATTTAAATAATATTATGTAAAATCATTGCTAAATTTCTTATTTTTATAAAAATTAAATAGAGGTGCTGGAGAGGTGGATCAGTAGTTAAGAGTGTATACTGCTCTTCCAGAGGACCTGGATTTGGTCCACAGCACCCCATCCTGTGACTGAGGTGTCTGTGACTCCAGCCCCAAATGGTTCGTGGGCAGCTGTAGCATACACATACTTTTCTTTCTCTTTTAAGAATTAATTTGATTCTAACTCTTTTCTTCATTCTCATTGAAGGTAAATGAGATTGCCTTCATAAACACCCTTGAAGCTCAGAATAAACGCCATGATGTTCTATCAAAATTGAAGGAATATGAGCAGAGGCTTAATGAATTACAGGAAGAACGTCAGAGAAGACAAGAAGAAAAGCAAGCTCGTGATGAGGCGGTGCAGGTGGGATTCTGCTCAACCTTTACTAAACACTTTTCACATCTCAGGCTCTGAGTCAGGGGCTGGAGATAAAACCTAGTCTCCGTTCCCAGGGGTGCATGACATACACAGCACTGCAGTGACTGGAGAGGACCATCAGTGTCCTCGAAGGTCAGCCGGATGTACACTGAGCTACTCTGGGACACTCTCATCTGTTATGTCGTAATTATTTCCTTCTTTTGATCCAAAAAGAATGTTATTGAAATAGTTAATAAAGATTTGTCCTTAGGACCAGAGGAACATATCATTTATTAACCAGTATCATCAGATAATCTTGATTAGCGTTGAATTTCTGCAGCTGCCATATTCATGATGGAGGAAGAACCATAGGGAATGAGTTGTCTTGTTGTGAAGAATCTATCTTAATTCCTTCATGGTAAAATACCTTGTCTGTGGAGAATTTTGCTACAGGAAAAAAAATTGCAGTATTTACATAAATGGAGGCTATATATTCTAAATACCTTCAGCTGTGATCACTTTGAGTACTACAAATAAGGCTTTTGGGCTGGTTTGAAGTCATGAAAATACATATTCTTTTCTAATAAGGAGCAGATGAGTATAACAAATTCAACTCATCAGGACAAGGACAACTATTGATATTATTAACAATTAATAATTAATTATTATTTACCTTGTGGCAAATCATAAAATCCCAGTTTAATGTGTAAAAGTGTACCAGGTATAAAAGTACCATGAGAGAGGGAATAATTGCTTTGCTAGTGGGATGACAGTGTCAGGGAAGGTTCTTTGTTTAGATGATTTCTTTATTGGGTTTTCACAAAAAAGAAACTTCATTTTTTTTACCTTGAGTACTGGTAGTTGAGCCCAGGACCTCCCTCACATGTGCTAGACAAGTTCTTTTGCCTGAGCTATATCTTTGTAATTGATAACCATATCATAAGCTATAGATAGAAAATGTCTTTTCATTCATCTGGGCCTTATGTAGTTTACTTTAGAAATATTTTATAGTTTTTGATGTATATCATGGATTTTTCTTACATTTATTACTTATTTTTAAGAAAGATTTTCTTGATGTTATTTATATTAGGTTTCACAAAGGAAAGAACTAACAGAATGAAATTTTTATGTGTGCATGCATGTGTATGCAAGTGTGCGCTTATATGTGTGTGTATATATGCATGTGTATGTGTGTGTGTGTGTCTATGTGTATTAGAGTGGCTTACAGGCTGCAGTCTGGATAGTGCAACAATAGCTGTCTCCTGACAGAAAAGCCAAGGATCCAGTAGTTGTTCAGTCCCTGTAGGCGCAAGAGTCTCAGGGACGTCCTAAACAACTGTCTATTTTCAGTCTATATTGGAATCCCGAGGAAATAGGTTCCAGCACCAGCGAAGAATGGCTCAGGGACAGAATAGATGAACTTGCCAGTGAGAGTGAGAACAAGCAGGCAAAAAGTGAATCTTTCTTCTTTCATGTCTGTTTATGTGGGCTGCTTCCAAGAGATATGTCCCAGATGTAGGATGGTCTGGGCTTGGGGTAGGTTTTCCACTTCAAATAATTCAATCAAGAAAAATCCTTTACTGTTTTGCCAGCTGCTTTGTTGGGTTTTAGTTAATCCAGATTTAGTCAAATTGACTACCAAGATTAGCTATCACACTAATGCAAAAAATTTTCACCTAATTGTATTTTCAAAGTATTACTTGTTAGTTTGTAGGAATACAGTTGACATATTTTTATGGATCGTGAATATTCAAACTTGATTAAATCTGTTTTTTAACTGTGCCACAATATGTGCATATAAGTTTGAATATATATTTCTATGTAGTTCTTAGAATTTAATTTATACCAGATCATGTTATCATTATGTGTAACACTGATAAGTAACATCTGAAAACCACATCATTGCTATTTAATTTTTCCATAAATTCTTAGAAACCATGTACCTAGTGACAATCCAGGAGTAATCTAGAAAATATGTTTGTGTCAAAGTTACATCACCTTTGATTATTTTAATTTCACATAATTCTAGTAACTTTAGTTTTTAACATCAGGAACGCAAGAGAGCCCTAGAGGCAGAACGGCAGGCCCGTGTAGAAGAATTGTTGATGAAGAGAAAAGAGCAAGAAGCCCGAATTGAACAACAGAGGCAAGAGAAGGAAAAAGCCCGTGAAGATGCAGCCCGAGAAAGAGCTAGGTACCTAATTTGCTGTCTTTGTTTTTGTCTTGATAAACAGTTTGCCACTGAGAAAAATTAGATCTTAACATCAGCAATTTCTTACATATGTTCTAGAAATACCAGAAGTTTAAAAATGTGTTGAATTTTCATGATACTTGTTATTACATTCAAAATGAAGAACTTTTAAAACTTTGTATTGCCTGAGAAAGTTATTTGAAGTCCTTTTTTTTTTTTTAATTGCCCAAGAAAAGGTAATTTGACTCTGTTTAGCTTCGATGAAAAGGAATTGTCTTTCAGGGTATTTGCATCATAAAGGGTGAGTCTGTTGAAGATTTTTTTTTTTATTCCTAGGTTATTTAGATCCCTTTGACATTCTTTAAATGAGTATATTTAGCTTTGTTTGCCACATTGCTTTCTGTTACTGGTTTCTAATGAAGTTTTTTGGTCATTTGAGGAATATACTTTGTCTATTTTCAGTGCTTCTGTATTTGTTGAGACCATGTTTATAGCCTTAGATATGGACTATTTATCCAGCAGAATGGGGATGCTATTGGGTAGTGTTCACGATTTATCGACTGAGTAGGGGATAGAGCCCTCTAGTCTTCCATGTATTTACCGGGTTTCTGTTCAGTCTGCCCAGTCTCAAGTGGAGTAGCAAAATGGTATCTTCATGTGTTTTGATTCTCAAGTGTATACATTCTTTTCTCACTCTACCTTACTGAGACACAAAAGCCAGGGTTTTTTTTTTTTTGTTATAAATATGACCATAGTTTGTCTTCTGTCCTCTTCCTTTCACCTATTGTGGTTTCATTCCTTGAACATGTATTTTAATTTTCTGATATATGCTTATTAATTTCTGCCTTCTGATTCCAATGTTTATTCCTAATGATTGGGTTTATTTGCCACAGTTTTAGATTTGTCATCTCCGTGTCTCAAGTCTTTCTCAGTTTTACTGCTTTGTTCTTTGTTAAACTAAAACTTTCTGGTAAATAATTTGTAACTCCTTTTCCAGTTTGCTTTCTGATACGGTAATAAAACACTAGAAAGCAACCTAGGAAAGAAAGGCTTTATCTGACTTGCAGATTATAGTCCATCATCAATAGAAACCAAGACAAGCACTGAAGCAGAAGCCCTGTGGGAATGCTGCTTACTGGCTAACTTCTGGTCTTACATCCAGTCCTGGGTTGATATTGCCCATGGTGATATGGGCCCTTCTTCATTCCATACTCAAGATGCCCCTCAGACCTGATTGTAGACCTATCTGATCGATGCCGTTCTTCTGTCACAGTTCCTTATTGAGTCTTAAAGGTGCATTATTTTAATTTTTATCTTACTGTTTACTGGCTGAAGTATAGAAGTCTTTTTGGCTTATTACAATATACTTAAATTTCTGACAAAATTAGCTATGGTAAATGTGGCAACTTTGTTTTTCCTCTCATGTCCTTATTGTTGCACATCTTGCATCTGTATGTGTTATGAACAGAAGAATATAGAGTTACAATTATTTCTTATGCTGTCCTATATTTTTTTAAGAAACCACAAAATTAAACACAAAAGCATTTTTGCATTCCTTTGTGTTTCTTTAAGCATCTATTAATCATTCTGATACATGTCATTTCTTTTTTTCCAGGTGCGATGTTGTTCTTAGTTGATAAGACTCACTAGCATTTTTTGCAAAGGATTTTGTGTTCAGTGAACTGGTGGTTATTAATTCATCTGGGAATATTTTAATTTTATTTCATTTGAATAATAGTTTTTCTTTCAAAATTTTGATTTGTCCTTTTCTTTTGTTTCTAATGAGACCTCTGCCTTTAATCATGCTATTTTTCCTAAGTGTGGAAATTGTTTCTTCATGCTCACAAAATAGTCATTCTCTTTGTCTTTTGTCATTTTGAAAATGTTTTTTTAGGGATCCCTTTGTTTCTCTTTATATTAATGTTCTGTGTATTAATGTGTTTTTATTTTGCTTTGTTTTTCTTTTCTTTTTTGGATTTTCAAGACAGGGTTTCTCTATAACAGTCCTGGCTGTCCTGGAGCTTGCTTTGTAAACCAGGCTAGCCTCAAAATCACTACTGTTGCCTCCAAGTGCTGGAATGAAAGGCATGTGCCACCACCGCCCAGCCAATTAATGTGTTTTTAAGGTTAAATTTTGGAAGCATTTGACCATTATTTACCATAATTTCTTCAAATATTTGTCAGTTTTCTTTAGTTCTTTGAGGTATGATGGTTTCTTAGACTTTCTTTGGGTTTGATGATTCCACAGTTTCAGGGAGTTAGTATTTAGGATTTTAAATTATCTTATGCATATGGATATTTTTCATACATGTGTGTCTGTGCTGCCTACTGCCCTCAGAGGCAAGGAGATCACCTCAGATCCCCTGAAATTGGAGTTTAAGATGGTTGTGAGCAGCCATGTGGGTTCTGGGAATTCCACCTGGATCCTCTAGAAGAACAGCCAGTGCTCTTAACTGCTAGCCATCTTTCCATCCCAGTGTTTGAGATTTTTATAGGATATTTCTTAGGACATGTCTGATATTTTTCTTATGATTAGATTGGGGTTATGATGTTTTATGAGGAGGAACACACAAGTGGAGTATTCTTAACATATCAAAAGCTTATGATATCATCTTGATTTATTCCTTATTTGTATTTCACATGGGTTTAAGTGCATATGTACATGTGTGCATTTGGAGGCAAGAGCTCAGCATCAGAAGTTTCTTCAATTGATTTTTATATTATTTTTGAACAACAATAACAACAAAAAAGTTCTGTCAGTAAACCTGGAAGTCACTAGTTTGGCTAAACTTGTTGGCCAACAATACCCAGGAATCCTCTGATCTCCAGCTGCTTAGCACTAGGCTTATAGGCACATGCTAAAAACTCAACTTTTTATGTGCGCCCTGGGGATTCTGAGCTGAGGATGTCTGTATGGGAAGCACTTATCCTCTCAAATCACTCCCAGCCCTGATGTTGTTACCTTTGATTACCTAACTGAGGTAGTGTTTCTTCCCTTTATAATTTAAAAATCCACCCCCGTCGTATTTGTTAAATTCCTTTAATATCAATATGACATCATTTATTTTATATGTTTAATGCTACAATTTGTGGTGGTTTGAATGAGAATAGCCCCATAGGCTCATGTATTTGAATGCTTGGTCACAGTTTGTGAAATTATTTGGGAAGGATTAGGAGGTGTGACATTGAAAGAGGTGTATTACTGGGGTGGGCTTTGAGATTGGAAAAGGCTATACCATTCTCATTTAGCTCCCTCTGTCTCCTTTTGTTGTCTCAATATGTAAGCTGTCTACCACTGCTCTAGTGCCATGCCTGTCTGCCTGTCTCCATGTTTTCCTCTGCCATGATGCTCATGGGTTCTAACCCTCTAGAATTGTGAGCCCATAAAATAAATGCTTTCTTTTATAAGTTGCCTTAGTTATGGTTTTGTTTTTTTAAAAGAAAACAAACTATCATTTTTTTTTTATTATACATACCAATCCAAGTTCCCAGTCCCTCCTACCCTCCTATTCACTCCACTTACCTACCTCGCCATCTACTCCATAGATTAGGTAAGGCACATTGCTTTGGGGAAGGTCCAAATAGAAGTAGAAGGTCCCTACTATATCTAGGCTGAGCAAGATATCTATCCAAAGAGAATGGAACCCCAAAAAGCCAGTACAAGCAGTAGAGATAAATCCTGGTGCCAATGCCAGTGGTCCCACTGTTTGCCCCAACCCTACAACTATCACCAACATTCAGAGGGTCTAGTTTGGTCCTATGCTGGTTCCTTTCCTATCTGCTGGGGTTGGTGAGCTCTGATTAGCTCAGGTAAGCTGTTTCAGTGGGTGTCCCTATCTTGGTCTTGACCTCTTTGCTCATATTCTCACTCCTCCCACTCTTCATCTGGACTTGGGGAGCTCAGTCCAGTGCTCCAGTGTGGGTCTCTGTCTGTTTCCATCAGCTGCTGGATGAAGGTTCTGTGGTGACATTTTAGATATTCATCAATCTGACTACAAGGCAAGACCAGTTTGGGTACCCTCTCCTCTATTGCTTAGAATCTTAGTTGGAGTCATCCATGTGGATTCCTGGAAATTTCTCTAGAGCCAGGTTTCTTGCTAGCCCCATAATGACTCTCTCAATCAAGATATCTCTTTCCTTACACTCATCTCTGTTCTTCCTCCATCTTGACCATTCCTTTCCAAGTTCTCCTCTCTCCCCTTCTCCCACCCCCCCCCCGCCCCGTTCCCTTTCCACCCTCTCTTCTCTCCCCACCCCCATGCTTTCCTTTTTGTCAGGTGATCTTGTCTATTTTGGTTTTCTAGGTGGATTTATGTATGTATTTCCTAGGTTCACTTTGTTACCTAGCTTCTCTAGGATCATGAACTGTAGGCTCAATATCCTTTGTTTATGGCTAGTATCCACTTACAAGTGAGTACATACCATGTTCATCTTTTTGGGTCAGGGTTACCTCACTCAGGATGATTTCTTTTTCTAGTCCCATCCATTTACCAGCAAATTTCATTTTTTAGTGGCTGAGTAATATTCTGTTGTGTAAATGTACCATATTTTCTTTATCTATTCATAAAGAAATATTGAGAGACTTCCAGGTTGTTTATGATTTCTAGCTATTATGAATAAAGCAGCAATGAACATGGATGAGCAATTGTCTCTGTGGTAGGATGAAGTGCCCTTTTGAGTATATGCCCAGGATTGTTATAGCTGAATATTGAGGTAGATCTATTCCCATCTTCCTGAGGCACTGCCACACTGATTTCCGTAGTGTAATGCTATACAAGTTTTCACTTCACTAGCAACGGATGTGTGTTCCCTTACTCCACATCCTCCTAAGGATGAACTACATGTTACCTGTTTTTTTTTCGTTTGTTTGTTTTTGTTTCTTTTTTTGATCTTAGCCATTTTGACAGGTATAAGATGAAATCTCAAAGAAGTTCTAGTTTTCATTTCCCTTTTGACTAAGAATGTTGAACATTTGTTTTTCCAGCCAATTGAATTTCCTCTTT